ATGCGTGTTTCGGAGACACAGCATACATCGATTTTAAGGGAGTACAAGGTTTCAGCAAGCATAGCCTGTTTGCCAATTTGACATAGAGTCTAGGACGCTAAAAGCTCCTATATAGAAAGGAACTCGTGGATTTGGAAGGGTATTATATTGTTTATTGTTAGCAAGCAGCGAGGGGCATAAGGCCCTTCGGTCAGATGACTGACAGTCCAATGGCCCAGAGACGTTTGTGTGTGGTGGGAAGGGGTTGGGGAGAGACATAGGTGGACACCTAACTGCGCAGGAAAATTATACTTCCCGGTTGCCCAGGCCGGGGAAGGGGGTTTGTTGAGGTACACCCACAAGGCAGTGGGGGAATGTACGGTTTTCTTTGGGGACCCTGCCCGGAGCCGACGACTTAACAGTCTGACCTGCTCGGCCGCAGGGGGTTAACCCAACCCGAGGGCGCAGAGAATAAGGCATTACTGTCTCATTCCTGATGTAGCTACACACAGCAGGTGCCTTCTGAGCAGCACCGGGCTCTTTGGTTTTAAAAGTACTTCGACCGTTTTGGATAATTTGCCGGCGGTCACGATCAACGGTTGGGCGACCGGAGTTTTGACCCGACTTTCGTCGGGGGAAGGTAGCATCGCTACTTCCATAAATATGGACATGCTGGTCGCCTGGGGGAAACACCTTACTGTCTTCACACCCCTGTCGCAGAGGACAGTGCAGCTTTACCCCCAAACCGCCTCGTAGCACGATTGCTCGTAGTACGAGGTCTCGCTGCTCCCCTTTTGGCTTTCTGGCATAGTTACAACTTGCGGTAAGACTTGGTCTGTTCGAGCAGCGGAACTGAGACGTTTTTCAGGTGTTCGATAGCAGTTATCTCAGAACCATAGCTGGTGTGAGCTGGTGTCAGCGAATCCGTAACCAGACAATTAGAAAGCGAGTTTTTTGTTGTGCAACAGGAACCTTCACTAGTATACGCGTGCATCATCTGCCCTTTATTAGTAACTGAAGGCAAATGCCACTTTAGTTCGAACACAGATAAACAGGTTCCTTGTCAAAAAATATACCAATTTACCATCTCTCGCCTGCAATGCGCAGCTATTTATTCCCCCGAAACCATCGTTGAACGAAACTGCGGCATCTACAACCACTGTACGAGTACGCGGTTATTACAGCTGACAATAATGACGATGATGATAGAGCAAAGCCTGAAGGATCATCCGGAAGATGAACGTCCCAGAGGCAACTGCTAAAAACCCACGAGTATTGCTCACCAGTGCGAAAAAGACGTTCAGCTGCAACACTCCTGTGCAGAGCTGCCGTACTACCCGGAGGAAACACGAGGGCTGAAATACTGTTATGTTACCCAAGTCTATATAGGGGCAATAGAGACGCTGAGGTTGGGTTCGAACCGGTCGGTGAGTTCGCGTTTTAACGACTGAGCTATCTCGAGCTCAGCAGCAGACTTGTGAATTAGCAATCTGAAACACCAAAGGCAGGAAATAGTTGAGGTTTAAGAGCTTGAGCAAAACCACCGTCGAATGTGCCGCTGTGCACCAACTCCCGCTGGGTACAAGGGAAGCCCTCGCCTGTGTTGACTACATCAAGTGGTGTCAGACAACTTCGTTACTGAGAAGATTGAGGTAAGATAACCAGTCGGCTGTAACACCCTCTCGGTGCCTATCTGCCATGCCACGCGAAGGAAGCACGAGGGCCTGGATACTGCCAGGTTGCCCAAGCCTAGACAGGGGAAGTCAACAGGAGGAGGTCGGGCTCGAACCACAGACCTTCCGGTCAGTAAATTCGCGCTCTAACCACTTGAGTCATCTCGCCGCACCGAGAAGATTATGGAGGACTCACTCGCAGCCTCTAATGACTGCGGATTTTAAACGCTCTCACGACATTCGCTCAGCTGCGCTGGTCATCGCCGTCTCCCCGGATGGGAGCCCGACACGTGATACAATGTTTAGACACTGACGTCGTGTGCACGCTATTGCTTTCAATACATAACGACCTCTCCCAATCTGTGCCAATGGACAGTCCACTGACACCCGTGTACTCACGCGTCAATTATACGAGGTACCGCATCCAATGCGTAGCTACCCACTCCAATCTCTTCATACTATAGGCAGGTGACTTGATAAGCTGCCCTGAGTGTTAACCTCAATTCGGATTTTTGGAAGCTATAGCCTTAATACGCCGACGAGGTCATCGTGTTGAGCAATCGCATGTCTGGACAACACATGGTCACGGGTAGCACCAGGGACAAGTTGAATCTTTGACCCCGTCGATCAGCAACACAATCGGTTGCATGTGGACTGGATATCCATGAACAGATCTTATCGTCTAGCGAGAATAAGTTGAGCGAAAATGACTAGTGGGCCTCACATTCCTCGCCCCTCCAAAACCATTCAATACCGTTGGACACGCTGTACGTAAATCCGACAGTTAACGGACTACATTTTACCTCCACAAATTACAGGACACCGCTGTCTGGGGCCAGTTAAAAATCTGGTTATCTTTCTGAAGTTGAACGTGCCGATATTACCACAAGAATTCTGGGCTCTACACTTTCCATGGATCGCAGCCCACTTCTTTGATGGAACAGCTTGAAAGCGGAGGAAACGGTGACTTACTTTTCCGTAAAGAAGGACATCTGGATTTTCTTCAATTTCACGAAGACCAGCTTGGAATAGTGGCTTATTACGACTGACTGCATATTTGGCCTTGTACTTTTCGTACGGGAAAATATCCTTGGGGCCCAGAAAGTATCTGATGGAAGGTCAGGCTCGAAAAGAACAACTTACACTTCGTGTGTTCCGTAGAAAAAAATGGGGAATTTCCCTTTGGGAATATGTACATCCGGAGGTAAAATATTGATCTTCAGATGACGAGTGAGACCATATAAGCCATGATACATACCCGACAGGGCCAATGTGGATGTCCCTTTACTTTAGCGAAGATTTTATCCCCCGGAGAGTAGGCCATCTCACGTACAGCCGACCTCAAGGTCAATACACGCAAACACTCGGGAAACCCGCGTCCTGAAGACCGAGCGCAGTAAAACAACTTCAGGTTAACCTGAATGCCTTTCGACATTATTTTCCCTGCTAGACATACTAAACTAAGAGCAACGTTCCTGAACGCCTCATGAAAACGAAGGATGAATGCTCCAGGGTTTCCATGACAGACAACTTCTAGGGCAAATCGACAAGATATCACGGATCCACAGATCGAAGCGCAGGATCGAGGCCTTCGCGGAAGGCTCCCTGTGCTAAGTTTGTTCGTGTCGCCTGGTGTTTCTACCCACCTTCAAGGCATGAGCAATTAATTGGAATGCACCGCCTTTCAAGTACTTAGCACGAAACAGTGAGCTTATCAAGGCGAAGAAACGATAAAAAGCATCCCAACTCTACATCAACTGGGTGCTAGTAGCAGGGTGGATGAAATTCGGAAGAGGATTATCCGCGCACTAACTTCCCTAGGTGATTCACGGATTCACGGATTAATACACAGGATCGAGGCTTGTGCCCAGGTTTCCAGGGTCGGTTTTGTTCTTGTCGGTCAGTGGCTGTCGTTCACCTGAAATGCACAAGTGAAAAAGGGTGTAGCATTGCTCTTTATGTTCTCAGCGCGGAGCAGTATGCTCGCCAGCGCGAGGATTCGCATAAATAAATGTCTAATAGTGCTTTAAATTAGGTTCGAGAAGGAGCGTGTACAACCGTCGGAGGAAGGTCATTCAACGCAGCTACTAGCCAAAATGAAAAAAGGTTTGCCTAAAGAATGTGTGTGCACTGAGATAGAAAATTTTCTTACTATGTCCCCGCCAAGTGTTTGCTGGGTCAACGGTAAAAAACCTGTTTGCCAAGCTTTGTTCAAACAGGGCGTAAGTAGGAATTAGGTCCCCTCGGGGGCGACGGTACTCCAGGGGAAAGAGATCAAGCGTCGCCAGACGCGTTTCGTAGTCCACGGATTTGAGGCCGGCAACCATTCTCGTGGCGGCCTGCTGGACACGCTCAATGAGGGTCACTTCATTCGTGTGTCCCGAGTAGACAGCTTGGTTGGCGTATTCCAGGAGGGGCCTTACGTAGGCCCCATAGAGTATTTGGAAGTCCATGCGGGTGGTGCGGGGAAGGTGCGTCGGGTCATCTGTATAATGGCGAATATCTTTTGGGCTGATTTCTAGTGGTGCATTGAGAAGGACAAGGTTGATAAGACCCAGATGCCCAAATCCTTTTTGGCATCTATCCTCATGATGTTTTCTGGTCCTCTTTCACCATGCTTGACAAAGGCAATCGCTGAACCCCCTCCAAACGACACACGGACGTGTTTTTCGTCATTGAGGAAGGTGCCAGTCCAACGACCACTGCTTGGCAGCGTCTACATCGATTTGGAGTACACTGGCATTGGAATTCCAGGATTTCAAGTCGTCCGCAAAAAGTAGACATGGACTTGCAAGAACATCTGGGAGGTCGTTGACGTAGATCAGAAACAGGAGTGGTCCCACGGCAGAGCCTTGAGGAACCCCAATGGAGGCCGTTGCTGGAGAGGAATAGGTCGAGCCTATTCTCACTCGGAATGATCTGTCTGATAGGAACGCCTTGATCCAGCGAAGGATTGTCCCTTGAATCCCGTAAGACTCGAGTTTGTGGAGCAGCGGGACATGTGGGACCCCATCAAATGCTTTTGAGAAGTCGAAAAATATAGCATCCGATATGAGTCCTTCTTCCTTGGCTTGGGTTAAGCTGTCCATAATTACGAGCATATTTGCCACGCAAGAGCGGTGTGGGAGAAATCCGTGTTGAGCTGGGGATATCAGATTGCTGGAAGTAAGGTGATCTAGGATGGCTCGCTTCAGAATGCCTTCCATCACCTTGCACGGCACGCTAGTGAGGCTTATAGGCCTATAGCTGCCAGGCGATACTCGGTCACCAGTTTTGTAGATTGGCGTGACAATCGCTCTTTTCCAAGCAGAGGGAAGGCGGCCTTCGTCAAGCGACTGACGAAACACCAGGTGGAGGACGTTTCTTTCAGGATCCTCGGATGGACCTCGTCGGGCCTCAACGCGCAGAATGAGTTAATCTTGTGCAAGAGTTGACGAATGTCCTACACCGTGAAGACCAAGTCCGTTGGAGGCTGTTCTTAGTTCCGCGTTGACAATAGTGGATGAGACGAAGACGCTGGGGCTAAGTAAGGACACGCATGGTCTTCTCTGTGAATCTCAGATACCATTTTTATGTCGTTCGCCGGTTCTCCGTTTCTCCCACTCAAGCAGACCGCGGGTGGCTTGCTTCTGCGGCGATGTCTCACGTGTTTGAAAAAGACGTTTTTGCTTTTTCGAGCGAGGTGCAGGATGGTGGCTCCTTTTCTTATACTCCATTTGCGGATTTCCGGACCCGCGCAGTGGGAGTTGGACGCAGTGCACCGTAATAGCGTGCGGGTGTGTTGTCAGGGAGGACAATCGGGATTGAAACGGCCGCATGTAAGTACAGAGCAACCGCATCAACCCTCCATCCTTTTGAGTCAGCTCGAAAAATAGAGTAACCGTCTATCGAGATCTCCGCGTCAGAGACATCTGGTTTGAGCCAGGTCTCTGTGAGTGAGATTATGGACGGTTGTTGAAGGCAAGCTGACGGTTTAACATTGCTGAGTTTGTTTAAAAAGCTGAGGCACTTTGTGGACAAGCATTTCAACACTGTCTCTGCTACCTCCGAGGGTGGGGAGCCGAGAGTTGAGTGCCCAGGGTGGTTAGAAGACTTAATAGTTGTGCACCGGTTTTGAGTCCAAGGCTACAAAGGGGCCTCGGGGGCGATGTCGTCGGCTTCCTGGCGTCGTGGTTTCTGGAGGTGCTTTTCGCCTGCAAGGTTTTTTCGTTCCGTGGGAGCTCGGTTTGCACGAGCCTTTTGGCTTTGGGGGAAGCCGTTTTTTCCCCATGGGCGAAAATTTCGACCGATGCTGCTTGTAGCTCTTTCAGCGCCCCCTTTTGGTCGAACAGATTCGCTGTTGATCAAAGATTTGCTGCAGGCTTTCGCCTTTCTGGATCCTTGGGTGTTTTGTCGCGGTTTGACAGGAAAAGTGTCTCTGTGAGGCCCTGAGCGCTGGGTGGTTTCACCAGGAAGTAATTATTTTGGTGGCGCTCATAAGATGCTCGTTTTCGCGGAGGACTGCACCTTGAAGCCAGCCAGCGGTTTTCTAATCTGGCGAGTTTTATGTGGCTTGTTTGGCCGCAGTCGCTCTTCTTTCGTGTTTGTGTGTACATCCAATCCGCCGGCGACCAGCGTGGCCAACTGGATGTACGAGGGATTTTCCGGATGGTTGTAGTGACGTTTATGGCTCTGGTTGTCGTAGTCCTGGGTGACGGTTGTGTCCACAAGCAGAGAGGCTGCTTTTGATGGATTGGAGCTGGAGATTGGCTTCGCTGCTTGTCCTTGCACATCTGACGCGGTACGGTTCAGAGGCTGTGGCTTTGTTGAGGAGTGCATGCCTGCAGCTGTGTTGTCTGTTCCGGAGAAAGGCGTTGATGGTTATACGTACTTCGGGCGCTGCTTAAATGTGAGTTTTGCCTCCTCAAGGGCACCACTGCCTTTGGTGGGCGAGAGGCCTGTAGTGTTCGAATGGAAACTGCTGTCCGGATACGCACCTGGTTTCGTCGGCCTGCTTTCGGGAGCACAACGGGATATGACCACAATCGGCTTGGTCATGAGTTTGGGGTCGACTGAATTGGTGCCCAGCAGAAGCATGTTTCTTGCCTCTACCCCTGACCTGTTGTGTCCCAGCTTTCGCGCGTCTAGAGGACGATCCTCAGATAGACGCCTGACCATTGGGTTGGCCTTCTGAATGCCGTCAGCCCGATCCAAGATCTTCTGTACGTCAGATGGAGAAGAGAGAGTGACGAGCAGCCCAAGCGTTCGCTTGCTTCCCTTCTGGCGTAACCATTCTGCTTGTAGCACCTGGTGAGGCTCGGTAAGGACATTCCTAATGATTGACTGTGCCAGCTTAGCTGGCGTGGTTTTTCCGGAGAATGACCCCCAGATTATCAATCTGCTTTCCCTTGAGTGCCTGTCCACTAAACGCACTGTGGCGGTCTTTATAGCCGCGTCAGGGAGCTGTATTACTTTCTTCGCAGCCAGAGGCCCCGGTATGGATATCGCGAGATTCTCGTTCAGCGAAGAAAGTTCCTCGTCAGCTTTCACCCAAGTCGCTGCATTTTTAGTGTTTGGGTCCTCCAGTGTCTTTGAAAGACGCTCCAATTTTTCGTCGAGTAAGCCGATCAAAGCGGAACACCAAAATAGGTCTTTCTGAATCTGCAATGATAATGATAATTCCCAACTTGAGGGTGGCATGCCGTCTGGCATGATCATGCGTTTACGGTCAGGCTGCGGTATGATAGGGGGATTTGCGGGTAGTGGGGATTGTGCGAAAGGGGGACAATGTCATAAACAGTGGGAGGTACTCGATTAAATAATAATAATATATTTCTTTTGCAACTTGTATGGAACAATAGGGATGAGGCCCGACTAATTAAAAGACTCAGTGGGCTGACATGAACTAAAACTGGAAAACCATTGCTGGCCATGAGTGACCTTGGGCAGTTGGGTAAATGGCCGGAGTCATAACAAGCAAAAGTGGCGGTGGAGATGGGATAATTCGAATTGGGAGAACACGGCAAGCTTAGTCTCAAAAATATGGTGAAATCTGAGAACAAGCAGACTCGCTGGTTGCTCTGTTGCTGGGACGCCAGGTGAAGGGGTTAGGTTGAATGGGGACACAGAGGTGGTTGAATTTGAACGAGTAGTTAGATAGGTTGGAATGAATGTCATTGTGGTCTTTGGGGTCAATGAAACGAGTAGGCAAGAGGGCACGGTTGACAGGAGGAATGGAACAGTTGCGGGTGTGCTATCAAACTGAGTATGGCAGTGCGGTGCCATCATTGGCCTGACATGCTTCACTTTTTGGACAGCCCCGCGACGGACGTCACATTTGAGATGATTCGACTTGGGTATGCAGTTCATTGAGCAGCGGTATTCATTTCAGCCTGGTCGAGGAAACAAGGTGGAACGAAACCGA